AAAAAAAAAAAAAAAGTCCCTCCAATTCCTGCCTCCCAGAACTAACCGTTATTAACATTATTTGAATACCATTCCAAGTACCTATCTTTGCATATATGCAGATAGAAGAATATCTCCCTAACAGGGAATAATTTAATGCAACATGAGATATACTGTACATTCTATTTCTAATTAAAGAATGAAAATTTATCTTTCTTAGATTTATAAAAGAGAATCTAAAGTGTAACAGAAGAAATTGCTGAACTTTAAGAAAATATCCCTTCACTGTAAGAGATTAGTTCCTAAGAGATCCCTCTGAAGTTAATGTGATTTTTGCAAAACAAAAATGGTCGGAATTATTTATTTTTTACTACATATTTTAATTTTAGACTAGATTGAAAAATTGCAATAAGAAAGGGAAGTCAGCACTTACACTTTCTGCCTCCTCTGTCTCTTCATCTGGTTTTTGTTAGCTGTCTATTGTTTTGACCTTGTTGGGGTTTGCAACCTCTACATTCTGTTTTGTAACTGCACTTCCTATAGTTCTAGCTCTGGGTTTAAGTGGACTTAGTGTATTCATTAGCAGTCCTCTTCCAATAACTTTCCATTCCTGAGTTCTTAGTTGGCTCTATTTCATGGTCAAGAAATTTTATTTTTAACCTGGGCAACATGGCGAGACCCCATCTCTATAAAAAATGTAAAAAAAATATTAGCTGGGCGTGGTGATGTGTACCTATAGTCCTAGCTACTTAGGAGCTGACATGAGAGCATTGCTTGAGTCCGGGAGTTCAAGGCTGCAGTGAGCTATGATCCCACCGCTGCACTCCAGCCTGGGCAACACAGCAAGACCCTGTCTCTTTAAAAAAAAAAAAAAAAGAATTTTTTCAAGAAGGACCAAAAGTGTTTGAGAACAGGATACCTACTTATTACTTTATAGTAAAAGGATAGGTTGGCTGGGCTTACAATTCTTGGGACACACACTCTTTCCTCAGGACTCTGTAGGCATCCTTCCAGCATTTAATGGTACCAAGAAGTGTTAAGATTGCTTTATTTTGTCTCTCCTGAAAACAACTGACTTTTGCCTGAATGCCTGCAGAATTCCTTTTTTAGTCTCAAAACACATTCACTTAATCAGGATGTGTCTCATCTCAGCATCTATTGTTTTTTGTCCAATCTTCCCGGAGTAGAGTTTCCTCTTTAGTTTTGTGGGTTCTTTCATATCGGGGAGATTTTTTGGTGTTTTATATTTGAGTACTTCTCCTGCTCCATTTATCGGATTCTCTGTTTCATGGACACGGCTGTCTATTTCTCAGATCTTCTCCATGTATTGGCTTCTATTTTTTTTAATGCCTTAGTCTCTTATCTGCTTTCACTTAAGCGTTTCCTTTATGTCAGTGATTCAATTTTTCAATGTATCTATTCTGTAACTTGTTATTTCTAATGTATTACTTCTGCTTGTTTTGGCTGTCAGTTTATTTTCTCAGCACACAATGTGCCTGCTGATCTTATTCTGTTGTTTTCATCATTTTCCTCTTTGAACTTTTTTTTATTCAATTCGTATTTCTGTTAAAATATGAAACATAAGAGAATTTTCTTCTGTTTATATTTTCTTTCGGACTAAGTTTTTCTTTCGCTTTGAATGCTATTTATTTCTTAAATCTATTTCCTTTTTTTCCTTTAATTGTGTTCTGATTCTTGGGATATGGTTACTATGATGTTTCATTTTATCTTTGCATCATATGTGGAGGACTACCCAGGTTTTCTGT